AAAAAAAAAAAAAAATTTACATATGTCTTTAAAGGCCGTATCTCCAAATAGGTCACATTGGGAGTTAGGGCTTCAGCATAAGAATTTGGGGGAACACAATTCACTCCATAACACTTAATATGACCTGTTGATCCAGGAGATTCTTTAGACTATGGGCATGTGGAGTAGGGTGTATCTAGGGAGAATCCACTATATGTTAAAGTGTCCTGATATAAAGGCCAGGATTGAGGGCATAAAGAGATGGGCTAATGCTGGAGTTTGGAACACATATGCTTCTTATGAGTCCTGCCTTTGGATCACACAGGAGACTTGGGGCCTCAAGGGCGCCAGAGACGGACCAGACTCACACAAAGACCTTCCAGAGCAGAAGCAATTAAATATGTAACTGAAATTTCATCTCTTCCCCAAACCCAAAACCTCAGACCACAGAATTCCCCCACTTCAGGAACATTTCCCAGTTTTCACTTTAGAGGAATCAGACTAGAGGCAAAAAGGTGACTGGGAATGTGGGTTGGTATTAATCTTCAGCCTGGCTCTCCCAGAGTTCCACATGCCTCCACCTGGCTTCATTTTCCCCCATTGTTAACAAGTCAGCCAGAACGGGAAACGGGTTTTTTTCTGCTCAGAATCTCTCCTTGGATACGGGAGGGTGAAGGGATTGGAACGGAGAAAGTGAAGTTGGAGTTGGTTCTTTCTAATTCTTGGTCAATTTCTGTTTATATTCTTATAGTCCAGCAAAATGGTGTGGTAGACTAGTTAATGCTCAAAATATTTGCTGCCCCACCCTGTGGCACTCAGCCTGGAGGATGATTATACATCCCTATCCCGTGTGGTCGTGTGATTCTTTGGCTAATAAAATGTGAGGGGAAGTGACATGTGTCACCTCTAAGCAGAGGCCGGAAGGAGCCAGGCATGTTTTGCTATCCCTTCTGCTTCAAGACAGAAAATAATATCCCAGAGCAAGCCTGGGTTCCAGAGTAAAGAGGACAGGAAGTGGAGCTGGGAGAGACTCGTAGACTCTGTGAGAAGGGTGAGAAACAAACCTTTGCTTCTGTGAGCTTTGCAGATTTGAGGTGATTTGTTACAGCGGCAGAACACAGCCTGAGCTGCCTCATTCGGGTGGGGATTTCTGCAGCTTGAAGCTGCCCCACGGCTGCCCATTAACTCATGTGGCCACCACATTTTCTGCCTAATACACATTCCTTGTTCTTCAGGGAGAAAGTCATCTATAGGAAGTGAGAGTCATGCCAAAATTGTCTGGATCCTTCTTGGCCTGAGATATATATATCTCCTACTGGTTCTTTTTCTCTGGAGAGCCTGAACTAATACATAGGGGTTTAAATAAAAGAAGTTTACGTCTCACCTATAAGGGGTCAGGAACTAGGCAGGGCACCCTAGGACGATGGCTCCATGGAGTCATCTGGGACCCAGGCTCTATCTTTCAGCTCTTTTAATCCTTACTATGTAGCTTCCATCCTTAAGATGACCTCATGATTCATGGTGACTGATGGGAGTTCCAAGCCGGAAGCCCGAGGAATCAGGCAAAATTAAAGCATGCTTGCCTCCCTCCCATCACTGGAGGACATTAAGAGTCTCTACTGCATAACTGGAAGATGTCCTTGTTTTTATATTCAAATATGGCCCTTCTAATCAGACTGATTTCAGTCTGGCTGGCACTTGGCAACACCAGGCAAAGGCTGTCAAGGTGTAAGGACTGTCATGTTCTTGTATAGTCTGTGATGGTTGTTTAACGGGAGGTCGGTCGGACTCTCATCTCCGGGGTGGACTCCTTGCAGGCAAACTCTTAGAGTGGGCAGAGTGAAGGGAAATATGCTGACATCCGACAAAGTAAGAGAAAACAGCCAAGCAGAGGCATACAAAACTCGGGAAATAGAAGGTTAAGCCCTGGGCACCTGGGTGGCTCAGTGTGTTATGTTCTTATGTTGCTTTTGGCTCAGGTCATGATCCTGGGGTCCTGGGATGGAGCCCCACATCAGGCTCCCTGCTCTGCCGGGACTCTGCTTCTCCCTCTGCCCCTCCTCCCACTCATTCTCTCATTCTCTCTCTCTCTCAAATAAATAAATAAAAATCTTAAAAAAATAAAAAGGTTAAGCCCTTTGAGGCAAGGGTCGGGGGGGAGGGGAGGAGCGCTGGCCCCCATCTGGGCTCCCGGCACAGGGCCTGCTGCCGCTTGGGACGCACGCCCCTCTGCACCCCTGGCCCTGCACCCGAAGGGCCTGTTCTCCAAGAGAGCTGGGAAGGCGAAGCCAGAAGCTTCCATGTGGGGAGGGCTCCGGGGAGGGAGAGGGCCTCTAGCTCCGACTGCCCACTGCAGGGCCGGACAGACCCCCACCCCTCCTCCTGCCCCTGCCCGACTAGGCTGCACGGCCCCTCCCGCTTTGCAGGGGACACGACGGCGGGCAGAAACGAGGGTACAAGGGCGGGCACGCGACAGGTCTTCCAGGCCTTGGGTTTCATTCTTCCGTGTTTCGTTAAGGACACTGTGGCCCAGCCGCTCCTGCCCGGCCGGTAGCCTGCCCCGTTGCCTCCCCGGCGCGCACCCCATCCCTGCCCGGTGAGGGAAGGGCGGCTGGGCCCCGGGGGCAGCAGCACCCCCCGCCCCCCCGCCGGCCGGAGCCCCGACCCCCCTCCTCCGCGCCTCTGACTCTATTAAGCAAACTCTTCAGATGTGTGGCTTGCGGGCGGCGGGGACTTCCGCAGGCACTGAAGGGCATGGTCACGTCAAGAGGCGGCTAGTGCCTCACCTGCTGTCAGGAAGAAAGGCTCCAGCGTCCAGGGAGTCAAGACGGACTCACTTAAGCAGGAGGGTGACTAAGATGAGAGCGCATTGCCGAGCACACCGTTAGACCTCCGCAGAAAGGGACGGAGGCGGGACCACGCTGCTGGACACGCACACGCCAGGGGGCGGGGTGCTCTCCTGTCCCCAGTTAGGATGGCAGACCTTCCCTCTCCGGCGCTGGGGGTTCTGCCTTATAGCCCTGAGTGGTCGGATCCTCCTAACTAATAGGCACTTTCCCTCTGGAAGGCGACTGTGGATCCACGTGTGCCTCAAAGGTAGGAAATGGCAAGTGTGCAGGACACCCGAGTTACTCTGCGAGCAGGAAACTGACATTTTGTAGTTATCTACCAGGACCCAGGAACTTAGCAGCTCACTATATCTTCATGCCCCTGTCACCATTCTACAGAGAAAAAATAAAACAGGTTCAGAGAGGCTCAATAATTTTTCTCACGGCCACAGGCCACCTCTGTAACCCAGTAAGTCTTAACTACAAGTCTTTTCACAAATGCTCCCCCCAGAGTTACATTAGTTGGTGGAGTAAGTTTTAAAAACACTTTATTAAAGGAAGTGAAATGGGTTTCTTTCCTGCAGGACTTCTCAGAGCCTTTGATATGCTAATGATCACCGTGAAACTCCCAAGAGGACTTCTATACTAAACAGGATTTCAACCAAATTTATTTGGCCGCAGCTAGGCATCTGGCCTAACTTGTGTTCAAGGAACATACTTGGGAGGAAGCTGCCCAAAAGCCAGGACTCCGGATTAGACAGCCTTGGTCCAAATCCCAATTCCTCCACTTACTAGCTGGGGGGCCTTGGGCAAAGTTCCTTACAATTTCTGCACTCCAGTTCCCTCATTTGTAAAACAGGCAGGCAGCAATGCCTTCATTCCACAACATTTACCCAGCCCACTCTGCCAGGAACCCTTCTGGACTCTGAGGGCCATGTCAGCGCTTACCTCATAGAACGTGAAAGATGGGAGGGTATTCCAGGGAGCAGTACATTTTTTTCTCTAAGGGGCCAGGTAATAAATATTGTAGGCTCTGGGGGCCAAACGGTCTCCACTGCAGCAGCTCCACTCTGCCTTCGTAGCAGGAAAGCAGCCATAGACAATACATGAACGAATGGGCGAGGCTGTGTTCCAATAAAACTTTATTGATAGACACTGAAATTTGAGTTTCATAAAATTTTCACATCACAAATATGATTCTTTAACATTTTTTTTCCAACCGTTTAAAAACGTAAAATCCATCCTTAGCTCATGGGCTGTACAGAAACAGGCAGTGGGGAAGGATTTGGCCTACGGGCTGTAATTCGCCCGCCCTGACTCTATTCCATAGTGTTTCTGTGAGGATTCAGTGAGCTAGTCAGGCACTAAAATCAGTACCAAGAAAGTGTAGAGTAGAATGGATTTAGAGTCAGGATGAAATGAGGACTTGTCATCGAGCTGGGAACATAAAAAATGGTTCCAGGCAACTGTCGTTCCCAGGACCCACCATTCCCAGTTCACTCAGTGCCACTGAGGCATAAGCTCCCACTAGGGATTTAGGGGCTTCTACAGAAGAGTAGTGAGCCCAGCCAGTTGTCGGCGCCCCGCCTCTGCTCAGCGGCCACCACAGTGGTCCCCACCTCTTGCCGGCCACACCGGCGAACTGGCCCATCTGTCCACCAGCGGCTGCTGATTGCTGCCAGATGAATGGAGGTGCTTGCAATGCTCCCTCTTATTAGCCTATTTGTTTGCTGCCTTCGTCTGCATTGTCAGAATGATCTCTGCACGTGGGAGTCGCTTGGAACGTTACAGTATAATTTATTAGAGGGTCTGGCCTCTTGGGAACGCCTCACATTCACACATTTTCCACTCTGGCAGATTGTTATAATTCCAGCCAATGAGATGACTCTACTGGAGACTTCTCCAAACAGGTACAAATTCCTTGAAATGTGAAGAGGCAGTGAATACAATTTCTGTATCTGCCTTGCTCCCAGACACGGAGCTCTCCTGCTTCTGGGGCTTCTGTGATGGCTGAATCACTCAGGCTGGAAAAACGGGTCTCGTCTACAATTCACTCTCCACCAGTGTATTTGTGGCTGATCTAGTGGTTTGTTGCAAAAGACTTCTCTGTGCCAGGAGCTTGTGACCTTTATGCCTGCGTGAAAAGCCCCCCTCTCCGTCAGTACGCACGTGCACATATACACACGTATGTACGCACATACACGGAAGCAGGCACGGTACACGTGTGCAACCCGCGACTAACCCTTACTACGCTCCTGCCGTGTGGTGATGCCAGGCACTCTGCAGGGCTCGAGTTCTCCCACTGACTGGAAACTTCCCCTTTTTTTGGTAATAACAGGGCAGGGGACATCATTTAAAAAAAAAAAAATCAAACTTTCAATGAAGGAAAGCCATATGCATTGTAACACTGTCTGTAGGTAAGAAACACCAAGCAGCTGTGAAAAATACCACTGGATCGATTTACATGTGGCCTGCAAACCACCTGCGCTGGCCAGGACGCAACAGATAAACACATATATATATATTATACACACACACACATACACACACACACACACGTATGTATATGTATATACGTATATATAATATAAAAAGAAAAAACAATACAAAAGAGCAAAGCTTTCTCACTCATTCCCAGTGTTGACATCAGTGAAGCATCCGAGTGAATGTTCTGAAAAGAAGGTTGCTCCCTATCCGTATTAAAACCATGACAGAGACCACCCCGAGGGCACCGCCCCTTTGCCCCTGGGAGCAGAGAACAGGGCAGAGGAGGAGGGTTTGTTTCAGAGATGAGGAAAATGAGCCTAAGGCGGCTGACTTGCCCAAGGTCACCCAGGCAGGTAGAGGTGGGAGCTTTCTACAGTTCTGACTCCAAGGGTGTATCTTGCTGCTTCCAGGAATCACATCCGTTTGGTGTTTTGCCTTGTTATTTGAGAGTCCCTGGGGTTGGCAGAACCGGTGTGACAGCCTGGGCGGTCCCCATCTGGCCTACATGGCAGACCTCCACGGCGACGCTGACGCCCGTCACCGCCAGCAGTCCTCTGGGTCTGGCATTTAAAGCTACAGGGCTGAGCACCGGCTTTCTCCTCCTCTCCCATTTTGAACAGGAAAGCTGAGCCTTCTGAAGAGCTGCCGTTGGATATTTAGTTTTCCTCTCTCCTCACTCCTCCAAGCCTCTCAGCCGGCCTTCCGTTTGGAATTCCAGTGGCCCCAGGGAGTGCCCCGCAACTGAAGTGTTGATTAAAATCAGCCTTGTAGGGTTCTCCAACTGCTGTGGGTGGGCTTGGTCCAGGGCGGGAACGGCAAATGAGTTTTACCACACAGGAACATGGGGTCATGAAGCCCGCAGAGCTGTGCTGAGGTTTCGGAGTCTGAATTCAGCTGGGAAAAAAAAAAAAAAAAAAAGGAGTCCTGTGACTGCTGCATGGTGTCCGGCACATGACAGGTATGGGGGCTGTCTCTTGTATGCCAGGTCTAGGTCAAAAGCACCTGCAGGAGTGGGCCCATTTCAGTCTGAATCCACACACTCGTCCTCCCCCTTAGCTGTGTTTTAGCATACCCGTAATTGGCACTACAGAAAATACCTAGTCACCAGACGGCCCACAGCGAGCCCCCAGTCGCAGCTTTGTGATGAATGCCTGGAGAGAAGGCAGGTTTCCCAGGCAGAAGAGAACTCCTGGATTATCTACTTCCACGCTCGGGTCTGCCCTGACCTGAGCCCTGCCTTCATCTTTCCAGACATGTCCCATGACCTTTTCTAGAAACATCGGGGAGCCTTCCCTGCAGTCTTCAGTGGTCCATTTCCATTGCCCGTAACAGAGCCCGGACTGCTGGGGAGAAGGCTGTGCCTTCCCCACACCATGAGGGGCAGCCACGTTAGACCCTGGCTTCTTTGACAGGACCCTGATCAAGTTTTTAATTCCAATACAAAGATGGGTCTGAACCTCCCCTTGCTGTGACTTTAAGGTTTCAGAGTAACTCTTCAGAACTGCTGGGAGGTCAGGGACCAGACAGACCAAGGGCCTCCCTGACACCCCTCATCTTCCTTTCGCTGCCCCAGGCAGGGGCTGGCTGCTTGCCATGTCACGGGACTCTGAAAGCAGAGCAGAAGCCTGGGCACTTCGTAGCTTCAGAGATCACCCTATCCTTGACCAAGACCACTTTAGCCAGTGTCTTACCATGTCGGTATCACACCCTAGCCAGGGCGTTCCTCAGTGGAGCGTCCGGACCTGTGTCAACGCTGGGGTTTAGCCGAGGGCAAGAGGGAAGGAGCCTTTCCTCCCCCCTTGTCCTCATGACTAGAAAGGATCCATACTCTTTCCCTAAGAGACATCCTTGCCCTTTCACTCAAAGGGCCCACCTCTCTTGCTGTATGTATGCCTCTGTCTAGGGTGAGGGGCAGCTTCCAGCCTCCCCAAAAGGGTGGAGCCAATGCCGCCAGCAGTAGGGACCCTCCCACAGGACTCCTTAGGTACCAAAGCTGAGGGGTGAGGGGGTACAGCCCATCGCCCGTCTGTACCCACACTGGCACCTGGGAAACATGAGACGCCATCTGATCCCTACCCTTCCACCCTTCCAGATCCTTTCTGAGACTTCTGAGGAGTCAGACTCGGGTTAAGACTCGGTACTGGAAAAGGGACAAAGGAGAACATAGTTTGCTGTTTCCTCTTACCAGGACAGGCCCATTTTCCAATTCGGCGTCCCGCACCATTTTACACGGTCTTCCTTTCAGTGCTAGTTCAAGTGCAAAGAGGAGTAATCGGGGGTGGATCTTGAAGTGTTTCAAGTGGTTTCCATATTCTTTGGAAGGCTACAGCGACTGCCGTGGCCTCTGGGCAGCAGGCCCCCAGCTCTGTTTGTGTGGCTTTTAGGCCTGATGCTGCATTTCGCTGATGTCCGAGTCACAGGGTACCTAACTGCACGTGGCCAGAAACAGGGTGTCTTCTGAGGGTTTTCAGTCATCCACTGAACCGTCAGCCATCATCTCCTTTAAATCACTGCAACCGATCTCAAAGGATGAGCTTACACACATTAGTTGGTTTTCTTCCCCAATCTGGACA